TAGTAGTAGTAGTAGTCGTCGAAGTAGTAGTAAGAGTAGTAGTAGTAGTAGTAGTAGTAGTAGTAGTAGTAGTAGTAGAAGTAGAAGTAGTAGTAGTAGTAGCAGTAGTAGTAGTAGCAGTAGTAGTAGTAGTAGTAGTAGTAGTGGTAGTACTAGTAGTTGTCGTAGTAGTAATAGTAGTAGTAGTAGTAGTAGTAGCAGTAGCTGTAGAAGCAGAAGTTGCACTACTAGTAGTAGTTGTAGTTGTAGTAGTAGAAATCATAGTAGTAGTACTAGGAATAGGAGTAAGAGTAATAGTAAGAGAAGTATTAATACTAGTAGTAGTAGTAGTCGTAGTAATAGTAGTAGTAGTAGTCGTAGTAGTAGTAATAGTAGTAGTAGTAGTCGTAGTGGTAGTACTAGTAGTTGTCGTAGTACTAGTAGTTGTCGTAGTGGTAGTAGTAGTAGAAGTAGTAGTAGTAGTAGTAGTAGTAGTAATAGTAGTAGTAGTAGTAGTAGTAGCTATAGAAGCAGAAGTTGCACTACTAGTAGTAGTTGTAGTTGTAGTAGTAGAAATCATAGCTGTAGTACTAGGAATAGGAGTAAGAGTAATAGTAAGAGAATTATTAGTAATAGTAGTAGTAGCAGTAGGAAATGTAGCCGTAGTAGTCGTAGTAGTAGGGGTAGTAGTAGTAGTAGTAGTAGTAGTAGCAGCAGCAGCAGTAGTAGTAGTAGTAGTAGTAATAGTAGTAACAATAGTGGTAGTGGTGCTAGTAGTGGTAGTGGTAGTAGTGGTAGTGCTAGTAGTGGTGCTAGTAGTGGTAGTGGTACTAGTAGAAGAAGAAGAAGAAGCTGTAATAGTAGTAGTAGTCGTAGTAAAAATTCTACGATATGTACTAACACGAAAGGTAGAAGCCGCAATACTAAAAATAATAATAGAAATAGTAGTCGGAATCGTATTGGCAATAGTAGTAGTAGCCGTGGAAGAAAGAGACGTCGTAGTAACAGAAATAGTAATAGTAGTAGTAGTAGTAGTAGCAGCAGCAGCAGTAGTAGTAGTAGTAGTAGTGGTAGTAGTAAAAACAGTAGTAATAAACGTGGTGGTAGTATGCGTAGTCATAGGCGTAATGATCTTTTAGTAGATCAGTTAGTAGTAACATTAGTACAAATATCACTATTGCTGCTACTACTACGACTAGTACTGGTGTAGGAAAAGGAACAATACCAAAGCAACGACATTCGTAATCGTAAGGCCGCAGCCATAGTCGTAAACTCCGTAGTAGGTCGTAGCCGCAGAAGTCGTAGTAGTAGTACTAGCAGTAGTAACAAAAATAACAGTCATTTTAATATGATTAGTCGTGATAGTAGAAGTAGTAGTAGTAGGAGTAGTAGTAGGAGTAGACGTAGTAGTAATAATACAAATGCTGGTAGTCATAGCAATGGTGGTAGTGGCAACAATAGAACTAAACATCGTAGTAGTGATCGTCATACCGGTAGTAGCAGTAGTAATGATAGGAATGGCAGTTGTAACAGTCAGAAGTGTAATGGTCGAGGTCGTAATTGGACGGGTAGTAGTGGTAACGGTAGTGCAGTAGCAGGTGGTAGTAATATTCTTGATAAAAGTAGTGGCCATAATAGACGTAGTCGTAGTAGCTGTCGTAATACCAGTAATAGCAGTAGTCGTGGTAATGGTAGTGGTAGTCGTAGCAGCGGTCGTCGTAGTAATAATACTGGGACAAATAAATTGCCATCGTAGTAGTAATAGTCGCCACGATAGTCGTAGTCGTCGTTGTTGTAGTCGTCGCAATCATAGAAACAGTAAAAGCTGTAGTCGTCGCAGTAGTCGTAGTCGTAGTAGTAGTTGCCACCGTATTGGTAAAACTATTAATTAGCAGCACTGGTACTAGCAAAGGTAGTCGTACTTGTAGTAGTCGTAGTAGTAGTACGGGTTGTAGTCGCCGTCGAAGTAGGAGTAGTAGTAGTGGTGGTTGTAGCCGTGGTGCCAGTAGTAGCAATACTAATCATGGCATTAGCAATATGAGTTGTGGTCGTAGTAGCAGTAGTAGTAGTCGTAGTAAGAATAGTTGTAGTAGTTGTAGGCGTCGTAGTAGTAGTAGCAGTAGTAGAAGAAAGAAACATCGTAGTGGCAGTAGCAGTGGTACCATTTAGAGTAGTAAGTAGTAGTAGTGGAAGTAGTCGGAGTCGTAGTCGTAGTAGTAGTCGTAGTAGTAGTAGTAGTAGTAGTAGTAGTCGTAGTAGTAGTAGTAGTCGTAGTGGTAGTAGTAGTAGTAGGGGTAATAGTCGGAGTAGTAGTAGTAGTAGTAGTAGTAGTAGTAGTAGTAGTAGTAGTCGAAGTAGAAATGGAATTGGTAATACCAGTAGCAGTCGTAGTAGTAATAATACTAGTAAAGGTGGTCGCAGTGGTAGTAGTAGTAGTAGTAAAATTAGTAGTAGTAGTAGTAATAGTAGTAGTAGTACAAGTAGAACTAGTTGTAGTAAGAGAAGTAGAAGTACCAAGGGTTGTAGTAGTGATAACAACTAGTGGTGGTAGTAGCAATGGTTATCGTTGTAATAGTACTGCAAATGCACGCCGTGGTAGTAGTAGTAGTAGTAGTAGTAGTAGTAGTAGTAGCAGCAGTAGTAGTAGTAGTAGTAGTAGTAGTAGGAGTAGTAGTAGTAGTAGTAGTAACAGTAGTAGTCGTAATGACAGTAATAGTAATAGCAGTGGTAGTCGATCAGAAGATCGATACGTTACGCCGCCAAGTCTGTGTCAATATATATATATATACAAGACTGCAGTGGCGCTTCGCGCCATGCACCTTGGTCCTTGAAGTCTGGTATGCAGGCGGACTGGCAGGAAGGTCAAGCCGACAATTTAGCGATCACTCCTTTTCTGGCATCGCCGCTAGAATAATGTTATTCGTTATCCTTCCTCCATGCTTCTTTTTCCTCATGCTCGCCATGCCCTGCGCATTCTCCCCATCCTCCTCAGCTCTTTTTGCGGAGGCTCCTCCTTGGAGAGCCTCTGGGGGCCTCACAAAAGTTGTTTCAGGCTTTCTTAAGGCCTTCTGGAGGCCTCCTGGGCGTGTTCTGGGAGCCTCTGGGGGCTTCCTCGGGCCACCCTGCCTCCAACCGCGGTCTCCCTGAACGACCGGGTCACGATTTGGAATGCTTCGGAGGGCGTCTTGGGGCCATCTTGGGCTGCCATGGGGCTCTCTGAGGGCCATCTTGGACCCCTGTTGTGCCGTTTTGGGGCTCTCTTGGACTGCCTGAAAGCCCTCCGGATGGTTATGGGGCGATTTGGGAGCCTCCCAGGCGGCTTCGGACGCCCAGAAGACCGCCGTCTTGGAGCGTCGGGAAGCCGAAAAGAGGAGAACCCCAAAATAAACCAAAAACCATCAAAATCAATGATGTTTGCCTCTTGGGCCTTCTTGGGAGTGCTCTCGGAGGCCTCTTGGGACGTTTCGGGAAGATCTTTGGGGGTATGACGGCTTCTTGGGGGTCGTCGTCGACCGTATTTGGGCTCTCTGGGGTCGCTTCGGGAGCGCGCCACGTCCTGCGAGGCCCGGGGGGCCGCTTCGAGGCCCGTCCGGATCCGAGGGTCCCTAAGCCCCAGATCCCGGGAGTCCGGTTTTGGGGGGGGGGGGGGGACGGGTTTTCCCCCCGCCCGGGCTTGTAAAAATGTAGAAAGAGGAATACCCGTGGACCTATTCAAACATTATGAACCAGTTGTGCGTGGCAGGCCGACAACGCGAATTCGAAATGTCAGCGTTGTGGCAAATTTGCGCAGGCCCAGGGTAGGCTGTAGCCTGTGCGGCGTGCACTCTTGACGCTATCTGCATGGCGGAATTCATGCCGTCACACGCGAGGCAAACCAGTGCAAATCTTGCCGCGCCCGCATGCGGTGTGAACCATGCGAGATGCGATGCGTGGACAAGTCTTATCAACCATGCAGGGAGCAGGAACATCGATGCAACGTCGCATGTTCAGAATCACTTGTTCGACGTTCGGGATGCTGTGCAACGTACGTGCGCCAGGGAACCCGCAAAGCCCCAATTACGCTTTCGAATCTCACGAAATGTTTCAAGATGGCGTTAGTCTTGATTTCGTCTCCACTCCCAGGCATCATCGCGGGCTGCACCTTCCCATGCTGGCGTGACCAAGTGTCCCAGATACGAGCGGCCGAATGCCTGACTAGGTGGCGGGATCCGAATCCTACCCCCACGAACCATGGATTCTCCGGAATCGATGAGGGTCGGGGGGTAGGGTTCGGATGTCGCCACGCGTTCAACGAATTCCGAATCAAAAAACCCCCACCGCCCATCGATTCGCCCGAATCGCTGATCGGCGAGGGTGGGGTTCGGACTTCGCGGCCGACTAACACAACCCAGCGAAGAATCAGCATGCCCCAATATTCGAGCCCATAAAAGCCCAAAGACAGACCGCTTGACAACCACACGACGGTGGCACAATTGCCCCTCCCTGAAAGCAGTAATCAAGGAGCAAGCAACGGTCCGCGAGGGCCCCCTTCAGCGGAACAGACACGTCGGGGAAACACAATGTAACAAAATCAACACGTCCAGGAATCCTGGAGCGTCCACGGGTGCGTTCGACGATCCAGTAGAATACGGAAGAACCCTGAAGCATCCCAAGCAGTTGCCCCCCCAGAAGGGAAATGGCAGGTATGGATGGGGTATATCTGATGCGCCGCTCTTGTGAAACACCCTCACCATCGGGGCTCGAAGTTCTCTGGCCAAGTACCAGAAGGGAAACATGGGCCAGGCTGGGTGGGTTCACTGCGCGAGCCAAGTCAAGCTGGCGATAACGCTACTTCCTGGACCTCTTCCAGGGCGCGTTCGGACGAGGATTTCGAGGCGAATCCAGCCGTGGCGACGAGGGATTTCCAGGAGGCCCCAAACAACAAAAACGAAAGAAGGGTAGCGGGAGCCCAGACACCCTCGTCCCGCCCATCCTCCCCGTCCCCACAAGGCCGTTCGCAGCGCGGTGCATTCGTAGAGCTCCTCCGCAGGGTCCAAGCTCTCTGGTTCGCTGGTAGCTTGAGGTCCCGCATGATCCGTAGGAGATCCTCGCCCGGACCAGGAGGACGAAGGGGGAGACGACCAGGAGGAGAAGGGGAGGGAGGAGCGAGGAAGGGCGTTTCATTGCACTTCCATGACAGCTGTTCTGGGTGGGACACTCGTGCGAACCACGGCGGCCGCTCGCGCCGCCCTCGACCTCGCTAGTCCAGGGATATCGGGCGAACGACCGCCGCCCGCCGCCCCCTCGGTGTGCCAGCTGTTGAGTGCTGGGCCAACGCGCCGCCGCAGGGCGGGGGCGCGACGCGGGGAAGGGAAGGACGGACAGGGGCAGGATGACTGGAGGAGGGAGGACGGGAAGGCAGGGAGGAAGGGCAGGATGGAGGAGAACAGGGAGGAGAGGAGGGGGAGGGAGGGGGAAGGGGACGAGGAGGAGATAAAGGACGATAAGGAGGGAAGAAAAGATGGGAGGAAAGGGAAGGAGGGGGCAGGAGGAAAGGGGAGGAACTATGACAACGGATGTACACTAGCAATATGCGTTTGTTCCGAACACGGCAATATGCCAAACACGGCTGACACGTCTGACACAGACGATATGCGGCCGCCTTGGGCCGCAAATGACACGAGGGAAGAAAAGAGAACATGTGAATATGTTGCTCAAGCGAGTCTGCCTGTGCCCCGTCGGTTGCAGCATGCAGGCCGTGCCGCACCCGACGAGGTTCCATACACAATTGCAATGAGGGGGCGCGTTCACCTGTTTAGGCACGTCCCGTGGAGGCCGGCCTTCGCTACCCCCCCCCCAAACACATTGGCCTCCCCGCGGCGCCAACCGCAACGACCTTTTTACGGCGCCCGTGGGAGGGGTGGAATTACCCCCGACATCGTCCAAGGGACTAGCCAGATCCTGCTAACAAACACCGCAACCAGCGAACGGAAGGTAAGCCTGACACCGGCCTTCTACTGACCAGGTCCCTCATAATTCCAGGAGGATCGAAGGAGCGGGGGGGCAAACGATTGGAAGAGCTCAGTACATGACTAACGTGCTGCATGCCAACAGCTGCTGCCCCACGAACACAATTCGCAAAATGTAGCCCCTCATCGCTTGACTCACTAAATCACCGTTACGAACACAGCCCGCGAACATAGTTAGCCTATGCGGTTGTCGTCGCCTCTCGCTATGTCGTATTTTCGAACGCAGTTCGCGACGTGCAACCGCCGATGTATCTTCGTGCAGCCAGAATACATGTAGTGAAATCAGTGATCATCCCGTTGGCGACACGTTCTCCACATTCGTCCTGAGGTCGTTGTGGCGGGAATTCTGAGCACGGTCTTCTCGCGCCTATCGTTGCTCAATCTGACCGCGCCGTGGTCGTGTTTGAGCTTCCCGTGCGTCGCGTCCAACATCCGCTCCCGGCCGATACTCCTCGCCGTCATGGGGTCGGCCCTGGTAACGCGGACAGCGCACCATAGCATGTCGGTGATCTGCTCGGTACGGAGCTGATCGGAGAGCCACCGCAGGTGGCCTGCCATGCTGCGCTCTGAAGGTGGACGCACAAGATCCATAGCGACGGCCGCGAAGACGGACATGCCGTCTGGGTTGCTGGCATGGCGTAGCATCCTTCCTCTCCGTGCCCGATCTCACTCCGCAGGGCGTGTTTGGTTTTTGATGCACGCAGAATCTGCGCGTATTTTAATTTGTCGTTGGTATCGCCGCCCTTGCCATGGAGAGATTCACTCTGTTGTTGCGCTTGGTGAAAAATGAATTTCTCGTGCTGAGAAGAACGTCGGTACGATAATGACAGAAGGATATGAACGTGCCCGGCTTCATGTCAGCAGTCATGTGCTTTTCTCATTTGTTTCCCCCGAGGGGCTTTGAAGCAATTGTGCTTGCAGCGAGGTTTTCGGGAATTCATGATCTCCTCGGCCGAGACCGGGCCCCTGCTCATCTCGTGGGGCGCGAGGGAAAAGGCCTGCAACCCGTCAGCTGCGCCGCGCGGCGCGAGCAGCTCGAAGCCGAACGAAGACCTACCCGCTAGCTTGTGTTATCGGCTCACAGTATCGAGCGAGTGGCAGAATTCCTTGCGGGCGCTGCGAAACTTGCCGAGGCGCATGTAGACTGCGCCCCTCGCGCCGTGCCCCGTCTCCCCCTCCCTCCCGAAGGGCCCGTCGCTCCGCGCGCAGATCTAGCCAGCGAGTTCCTGGCAGGCGAGGCGACGCGGGCTTTGATCTTCTGCGCGGCGAGGACCCCGCAAATGCGCTGCATGGCGCGTCGCAGAAGCAGCCTGTCCTTGGCCCGCCGCAGCGCCACAATGCGCGCTGCGACGTGGCGCTGGGCGAGAAGGGCGGGCGCGGCTGCCCCCGGCAGGGAACTTTAAATCTCCTGGTTGACCTCCCGCGGGCTCGTCTGCCTTCGCCTTTACCTGGTCGACGTGCCTGATCGGCATCGGGGCGTCGACGCGCCCGTCCTGGTCGCGGAGTTGGTGGGCGCCGCAGTTGGTGAAGTCGTCGTGACGCCCCAGTCACCTTGCCGAGGACGGCATCGATGTGGCCGATGAGCCTGCCGACGTGCCCCTGTGGTCCAGCGGTCTTCGCGTCGCCGACGTGCTTGGACAATGTGAGCAAAATCTTGGAGTCGCCTGCAACGCAATTGCCGGACGCCTCATGCTTGACCCCGAGCTCCGGGCCCAACTGGGCGCGTTCGGCGTTGAATTCTGCGCGACCCGGGCGAGGTTCGCGGAGCAGGGCCGGGGCGCGGCCTTGCAGCCCGTGCGCGGCTCGACGCATCGCGGGCGCTCGGTCCTCGTCGAGGGGCTCGTAGCCAGGCGCCTGCCTGACAATAGCTGCACTGCCGGGCGGTGGGGTGGAATTCGCCTCGCGTGGCGCTTCGCCTCGTTCCTGCATCTCGGCAGACGACATGCTCTGCAGAAGTGCCTTCTCGACGTCCACGGCGACGTAGACCCAGTCCAGGTGGCGCGCCAGCTCCGAGACCTGCATGCGCTGTGAGGCGCGTTCGGCTGTCCCCGCGAACGTCTCCAGGGCGCCGGCGCCCATGTGGCGGAATCCTCTGAGCGCCGCGCGGCGCCGATGGTCCGCGCGGCTTCGCCGTCGGAGCTCTTCCGGTGCTTCCACTTGAAGACGCGCCTGGAGTCCACGACGAGCGGTCGCCGTTCGACCCAGATAAGCTCCTGGAGAATGGCTGCAGACACCTCCTCGGCCAGCCTGAACGCCACTTCCTTGGTCGGGAGATCGGCGTCGCGCTTGATGCCCACGACCATAGCAGGTGCGCGCGCGTTAGGCACGGCTGTCCGGGAATCGCCAGCAACGCAATTGCAGGACGTTTCCTCATTGAAGCTTAGGATTGCTTCGCGCGCCCCTGGGTCGAGGTACAACGCCACGTGTCTCCCTGGTTCGCCCTCCTCCTCCAGCGTGGCGAAGTCGTCCAGGGCGGCGTCGCGCAGGTAGTGGTGGCACTGCGCGTAGACGCCCTGGCGCTGGCGTTGCGTCTCCAGGTGCTGGGGCCACCCGCGTGGCCGGCGGCCAATGCTGGCCACGGCGTGATCGACAGCAGCGTGGTTCATCTGCTGGCTGTCGTCGCTCTCCAGCGCCTCCAACTCCTGCGCCAGGGCTGCTGCCCCGTCAACTGCACGCCACGCTGCCAACATCACCTGCTGGATGCGGCCGGAGAAGTCGCTGCCAGTCCCTCCAGGCCCAATCAAGAGTGCTGATGGAGATCACGTCAGTGAAGCTGACAGCATCCCCAGGAGCGTCGACGACACAGTCATCGAACACCCCATCTGGATATTGTCCATGTCTGCTGGTGTAAGTGTCTCGTCACTCACCCAAGATAAACTGCGCCATGCAAGCGCCCTCCCACTGCCTGCAGGTAAGCGCGTGGGTGTCCAACTTGACGCCGTCCAAGTGAATCTTCTGAGTGTCACCTCGCTTCGAAGGTACCACAAGATGACTAGGCTGCGGGTGCAGGCCCGCCAGTCTCCAGCAGACTTCTGGCCGCGCAGTAGACGTGCGGCACGAACGTCTGGCTGCTGAAAGCATCTGCGGGACACATGGCGTCGAGCTTCGAGGATGTCGGGGCACTGCCGCGGCTGCGCGGTCAGCTGCACGCCGCTGGCCCCCCAGTGGCCGAAGGTCCTGGCGACGGAGCATGGTGCCATGTGCTCGATGAAGTCCTCCGCTCGGTCCTTTGCCCCGCTCAAGCCAAAGCCAATGCCCACGTCGTCGACGACGGCACCGATGAAGGGCTGGACGCCCTGCAATCCGCAGATCACGTCGGCTCGGCGGCACTAGACTGTTACCTCGCTTCGAGCCAAATCGGCAGACGCGACAATCACAAAACCCGCCCAGCCTGATGCGTTTTTTGTGCTCGGAGGCCTGTGGATCTCCACCTGGCTGCCAACGTTGAACCGGCCCTCTCCAGACTCGGTGGCGCCTGTCTGGAGGGCGCGGAAGACGCGGGAGATTGATGTAGCCTAAATAATACGCTGCAGTGCAATCTCTCTGACTCGCCACTGCAATCGGCTGGGCTGCACTTCCCCGCCAGCAGAGGGCTCGGCGCCTGCGACAGACGCCAGACACCTCGCCCGATTCGTCTGCTTCCAGCGGTGGCAGCATAGCTGGCTGTCTCCCGAAGACGCCGCTTTATGGCGTGACGCCGCCAACGTGGGTGAGGCTGTTGCCTCCAAGTGTTGCGTGAGCAGTCATACTCTCGAAATTCGCCGCGCGACCTTCGCGCTCTAGCTTCTCCTCGTCGATGTGAAGTGCATGTCGTAGTATAGCCCCACGTCGCTGGATGAAGCGAAACTGCTTTCGCGGGGCACGTTTCTCCCCCTGGACTCCTCGTCTCATCTCCTCCACCAAGTGGGTAGAGGTCACGCCGCCCTCTCCGTCCACGATCAACGTCTCCATCGTGCCGAATAGTTTGAACCATGATCGGCCGATGGCTGTAAGCAGCGCCGAGCCGCGTTCGGAGTCGATATCCTGGCCGTCGTGTCAACGTGAGGCACAGCAGATCAGATGCATAAACATGCGATCC